TATACCAAAACAAGTACGTATGTATAATCAGCACTCCCATCACCTTTTTTTGTGGTGTGAACATTCAAAATCTTGTCTTCTAGATATTTTGAAGTATATATTAAAAATACATCAGTGTTGACTATAGTCATACTACTGTGCAATAGAACACCATAACTTGTTCCTCCTATCTAACCGTGACTTTGTACCCATTGACCGACCACTCTCTCTCATCTGCTCCCCTTCCGTACTCTCCCCAGCCTCTGGCAACCACTATTCTATTCTCGACCTCTATGAGATCGCTTCATTTTTTACTATGGGGGGTGGGCTTTATATTTCAATTTCCTGCTACAGAAGTAAGACCAATATTTTTAAAACTCTCTTATAATAACGAGAAAGAGAACACAACAGCAATGAAAACAGATTAACATTTTACCTTTATAAAATGTACGAAGTTCTCTCAATGTGTTCTGGGTAGCAGTCTATTACTTAGACTGCTAAGTAATAAAAATGTAAGTCAATTAACAGCCTATTTGAGAAAGAAGAGGCAAAAATGAGCCTCTGGTGTCATATCTGGGATGAGGGGAAGGGAGGAAAGGAAGAAATAAAGGGAAAAAGTAAATCAACCAAAATCCTTGCAGCTCATAACCCCATGGAAAAATTCTTATCACCTAGTGAGACTGTAGCTGTGGTGACGTCACAGCACACTCATGTTTGTGGTGATGCTGGTGTGAGCAAACCTCCTGCTGTGCTATCAGGTGTATAAAAGTATGGCCATACAGGTATGTACAGTATGCATGCTTAGTGATCATAAACGACTTTGATTGGCTGACAATCCCAGCAACTCAGGGAGAGTCTCTAATGAGGTCTCCCCTGACTTCCCCAGAGACTTCAGCTGCAACATGGTCTATTTCAAACAGGGGATGATCACCAGCCTATATTCTACTCTTTAGAATTTTAGTGCCAGGAAAGATCCAGAGAAGTTGCAGGTCAGAGGCAGATGGGTGATGGCTGATGGGACCGATTTAGCCTCTGCTGCTGCTGAGGAACAAACAGCCTCCAGCTCTTTCTCACCTCATCTTATGCAAAGCAATGACAAGCGACAAAACTTAAAGTGAGGTTTACAAGTATCTCAAAAGAACCAAAAACAGCTGGCCACTTGTCTGCTCCTGAGGTAGGTGCTGGGCAAGGTACAGTGAATATGATTCACTCCCTGTCCTCAGGGAGCTCCCAGGTAGGAGAGGGAGGCAGACACAGAAACAGACACATATAGTCATGTGCCACATAGCAATGTTTCAGTCAACTATGGACCGCAGATACGATGGTGGTCCCATAAGATTATAATGGAGCTGAAAAATTCCTATCACCTAATGACAATCGTAGCTATTGTGACATCATAGCACATGCACGTGTTTGTGATAACGCCGATATAAACAAACCTGCTGCACTGTCAAGCGTGTAAGAGTATATAGCACATACAATTATGTAAGTACATAACATTTGATAATGACAATAAACAACTCTGCTGTTGGTTTATATATTAATATTCACTATACTATACTTTTAATCATTATTTTAGAGTGTACTCCTTCTACTCACAAAAAAAAGTTAATTGTAAAACAGCCTCAGGCAGGTCCTTCAGGAGGTATTCCTGAAGAAGGCGTTGTTATCATAGGAGACGACAGCTCCATGCATGAACATGCATGTTATTGCCCCAAAGACCTTCCAGTGGGATAAGATGTGAAGATGAAAGACAGTGATATTGATAAGCCTGATCCTGTGTAGGGCTAGGCTAATGTGTGTGTTTGTGCCTTGGTTTTTAACAATAAAGTTTTAAAAGTAAAAAAAAAAAAATATTAAAAATAGAAAAAGGTTTATGGAATAAGGATATAAATAAAGAAAATATTTTGTGCAGCAGCTGCACAATGTGTTTGTGTTTTAAGCTGTCATTTCAAAAGAGTCAAAAAGTTAAAAAAATTAAGTTTATAAAGTAAAAATGTTATAGCAAACTAAGGTTAATTTATTACTGAAGAAAGAAATTTTTTTGTCAATTTAGTGCAGCCTAAGTGTACAGTGTTTCTAAAGTCCTCGGTAGCATACAGCAATGACCTAGGCCTTCACATTCACTCACCACTCACTCACCGACTCTCCAAGAGCAATTTCCAGTCTTGCAAGCTTCATTCGTGGTAAGTGCCCTATACAGGTGTATTTTTTTTATCTTTTAGATCATATTTTTTTACTGATCCTTTTCTAAGTTTAGATATGGTTAGATACACAAATACTTACTATTGTGTTACAATCATCTGCAGTATTCAGTTCAGCAACCTGCTATAGAGGTTTGTAGCCTAGGAACAATAGGCTGTGGTAGTTATAACATATAGCTTAGGTGTGCAGTAGGCTATACCATCTAGGTTTGAGTAAGGTCACTCTATGATGCTCACACAACGATGAAATTGCCTAAGGACACATTTCCCAGACTGTATCCCATTCAGTAAGCAATGCATGACTGTAATTACTATTCAATGAGTTAAGATATAAGAGATAAGGTTTGCATCCCAGGCCTACACAGAGGACAACATCTATCCCAGCATGGAGGATTTTAGAGATCATATCCTGGAGGCAGTGAAGCATGACATGGCATGGTTAGCATCAGATGGTTTCACTTTCAATTTACCGTTGTTTTAAGGTGGAGATCCTTATCCAGGAGCACTCATGGCAGATGATAGAATGGATATGTACTGTTTTGCTTACCAAGCTTGCTTTCTTTTTAAAGAATAAGCCCTTCCTCCCCAGAGAATTGCATTTCTCCCCATTCCAGCCACGTGGTGTTAGCTAATGTCCGTAACTCACCATCCTCGTCTCCGCCGATTTGCCCAGGGTAAGCCCATCCAACTGCTTTGCTGAGACTTTCTAAGTTGGGCCTAAGGGAGAGGGATATTCCTTCTGTGGTGGAAAGATCATAAAATAAGAAGTTTGGAAGGATTATTCTTCCCTTATATGGAAGAAGCTGGTCATATTGGGACAGACTAAAGCTGACAACACAGAGAAACAGTGAGGACAGCTGGAGAGAGCGAGTCTTGTTGGCCTTCAAGGCCCTGATCCTACTTGCCTGAGAGACACAGTTACACCACCCCCTTCTGTCACTAGGTGAAGTACCACAGCGGCTTTCCAATACAGTCCTCTTTTTGCCGAAACTAGTTCAACTTTGGTTTCCATTTCTTACAGTCAAGAGTTCTGAGCATCAGCTTACATTAGCAGTGACTTTTGGACATTTTCATCCTTGTCTTGAAGTTACATTTTTCCTCTCATCCTCCCCATTTCAAAGAAGAGTTAACCCAACCTCAATGTTGTCAAGTTCTTCTTGTTTTATCTCAGTTTATTTACACTTTGAAAACTTGGTCAATGCTCTTTGTTTCCCCATTAGCTGTGCTTCTAGCTGCTCCCTATCTAGGTTCCCCCAAAGCCAGCTCCCATTTCAAAGTACATTAAAATGTTGTCTAGCAAGTGCCACCACTAGAGAATCCAACTGAGTGGGTCAAGAGTGGGGTCCAGAATTTATTTGTATTTTTTTAAAAGTACAAGCTAGTTGATTCCGATGTGCACCCAGGTGAGGGCATCACCAGGCCAGATGTCCCTTAAAGCCCATCAACTTGAAGAGTTTATGAACATCCTACTCTGGAGTGCAAATTAACTGTTCAATCTCTCTAGTTAAGTTTTGAGTACTGCTCAGTCTCATTTACCTCAAAGAAAGCAGAATTACTGGAGGCTTGGAAGTGAGTCACAGCAGTTCCAAGCTGCTCAGAGAACTATCCTTTAGGGGCTTGAGGTGACTTCATTATCTGGGGGTGTTGCAGGGGTAGTCCTGGCCCCTTCCACAAGCTGCCTTCGATTTCCTTCATGCTGGAGATAGATGATGTAGAGGCCATTTGTTTCTTTTTAAAGTGTAGAATTACATCACACGCCTATATAACTTTTCTCAAAAAATGTCTTTTCAAAGCAGCTATCCTCCAAGCAGCTGGGCATAGTTTTCCCAGGGGCAGCAGCAAAGCTGAAGTACAGGGGAAAAATTGTTTTAGACCCTTTAAGCAATGTCACCTTTGGAGCTGTAAAGCTGCACTCTCACTCTCACGGGAGACGACAAAAATGTCATAGCAGCAAGTTTTTGAAAGCGGATGCCAGGTAGGAGAGGTATAAGATTGGATGAAGAGTAAGCCAAGTCAAGCAAGATCCTTCCTCATTCCTTCCCTAATTTGAGGGGCTTTTCACAGTGGCTGAGCTGAACCCACCTAGTAAATTCTCAAAGTCTCCTGGACTTCCAGATGTGCTGTTTCACATTTGGCATGATGCAGCAGGTGTTTCAAGACTTTCCTTTGCCAAGAAGAAAGTTTTAGTTTTATTTTATTATGTTTTCTTTTATTTTTAGTTTATTGTGTTTTACTTTTATTTATACCAAACCTGTGGAAATTGGGGCTGATGACTCAGTGAAGCTTGGAATAATTACAGTCAGAAGATCTTTGCCACTTGGTCAATGGCATCCCCCATTCTGACATAGCCTTTCTTTTCTGGGCACACACACACTCACACACTTTTTCTCTTTCTCCCCTTTCTCTTCTTTCCTCCCTCTCTCCCCTCCCCTCCCCCTCAACACATTCAATGAGTGTCCTAAACGGTGACAAACTTGCATGTGCTTCCCTTATGACTAAAGGCCTGGGCCTCCTGCCAATCCCCCACAGATGGTCCCAAACTTCAGTCATCCCATTAGGAGAGCCCCACGTTTGCAGCCCTGGTCGACGGTCAGGGTGGAGGAGGGTGGTGGGGAGTGGCGGTGTCTCCGTCCTGGGGGAAGGCGAAGCAACTTCCAGGAGGAAACGGGCGTTTCCTTCCCACGCGCTGGAGGGAGCCGTGGGTCTCGGCCTCGGAACTCCACCCAGTCCCTCCCCGCCCTCTGGGAAAAGCCAGTCGCCACACACAGGCACACGCAGGCCCGGCGCCGCGCCCTAAGGAGAGCAGCACCCACGGCCAATTGCCATGGCAACCCCGGGGTTCGTTCCACTTCCCCACCCAGCCGACCCCCCCTTCTCCTCCCTGCGCTGCAGCCAACCGGCTTGTGCGCGTCCCGGGAGCGCGCTATAAAACCTGCGCTGGTGGCGCCGGGCGTGAGCCGGCGAGCGCGGGACCTGGGGGAAGGCAAGCAGTGCCAATCTCCGCGAAGAAAGTCTCGTTTTGCAAAAGCAAGAGGAAAAAGCCTGAGTATGCAGAGTGTGCAGAGCACGAGCCTCTGTCTGCAAAAGCAGTGCCTCTGCCTGACCTTCTTGCTTCTCCATCTCCTGGGACAGGTAAAGGGCGCACCCTTAAGATGCCCCTGGTTACTTTGCCCTCCTAGGTGGCCCCTGCTTGGTCCCCGGGCTCGCTCCGCCTTCAACTGTCCCTGCTGATGAGTTTCTCTCTCTTGTCTCGCCCCGCCCCAGGTAGCTGCGAGTGAGCGCTGCCCTTCCCCGTGCCCAGGCCAGTGCCCCGCGACGCCGCCGACCTGCGCCCCTGGCGTGCGCGCGGTGCTGGACGGCTGCTCCTGCTGTCTGGTGTGCGCCCGCCAGCGCGGCGAGAGCTGCTCAGAACTGGAGCCATGCGACGAGAGCAGCGGCCTCTACTGCGACCGCAGCGCGGACCCCAGCAACCAGACTGGCATCTGCATGGGTAAGCCTGCTCCGCTCTGCTGTTTGACCTCTTCTCCCGCAACTAGCTGGAGCTGCACCCTTCCCTCTCTCCTTCTGCCCCTTCCCAGAGGGTGATAAGCAAATAATAATAATGCAATAGGTGACGTTTATGAATCACTTACTGTGTGCCAGGCATGGTTGGGGGGCCCTTGGGGCTTTGAAGAGTGCCAGAGCCAGAGAGGAAACCTGCCCATAGGGGCAAGAGCCTCCCTAGATAAGAATCTAAGGGGGATTGAAGCAGAGTGAAGGACCAGTGAAGTCATTTCCTCTGGACATTTCTAGAGGGGGACACTTGGAGCTGATGAAAGCCTGGGTTTATTCAAGCGCTCACACTTCTCCCAAGTGAAGCCTAGCAGGTTTGTTTTCACACCTGTAATTGTCCCATCTGAGCCAAAGCAGCCCCAAGTCTCTTGTGACAAGTATGTAACCCTTTTCCTGGCTGCAAGTAAAATAAAATGCAGACAACTAGCCAATCCAGGCTCCTAAAACACAATCAATCAGGGATCAATTTTCCACAGTGGTGTGCCATTGTGGTTGGAGGTTGTCTCTGCCTCCCTGAATAGAAGGGCTTTTACTTTTTTCTCTAAGCTAGTGAAAATTTATTGTGCTTGAATGCCAAGACATCTTACTGTCCTTCCCAATTTGACCAGTTAACCTATTTTGGAGAATATGAAGTGCACTTTTTCCCAAGTCTAAGCTGCTTGAGTTGGAGACTCTAAGGAGGTTCTTGCAAAATAGCTTAACATTGGGAACAAAAGCTATGGGCCCTTGGGAGTATCACTTCAAAGTTGCACACCTCATGAATAAAATGAGTGGCAGGACTGGATGATTTTAAAGGTTTCTTCTCACTCTGGGAGGCCTTCATAAGGAACTCTCTCTACTGGAAAGGCATAAGAAACCAGATCGCCAGCACCAAAAAGGAATGACTTGGGGTTTGGAACATGTCCTCCTCCAATCTTACATAGCTTCTCCAGTGCATTACGTTCTTGTTTTTCTCTCTCCTCTTTCCTCTCTGCTTTGCTTCCCCAATATTCTAGCGGTAGAAGGAGACAACTGTGTCTTCGATGGGGTCATTTACCGCAGTGGAGAGAAATTCCAGCCAAGCTGCAAATTCCAGTGCACCTGCAGAGATGGGCAGATTGGCTGTGTGCCCCGCTGTCAGCTGGACGTGCTACTGCCTGAGCCTGACTGCCCAACTCCAAGAAAAGTTGAGGTGCCCGGAGAGTGCTGCGAAAAGTGGATCTGTGGCCCAGATGAGAAGGGAACATTGGGAGGCCTGACCCTTGCAGGTGAGAAACTCAGTATACCTGGGGGTGGTCACAATACAGAGTAAATACACGCACAAAGCACATGTGATCTTTTGGATTTGAGAAGAGAAACTGGCCTTGTTTTCTGGCCATTCGGTTGTAGATTCCAGATTGCTTACTGAGATCGAACACATCATGTCTATAAATCCAAGTTAAGTCACCTGAAGTATGCCACAATTTCTTTTAAAGAAGACCTCCTAAATTCAGTTACTTTTGTGTCTCATTTTTGTCTTAGTGGATAACTACTATTGGTAATATTAGTCCATCTATGCCACTTGACCATTATTAGCACTAGAAAGCTAAAAAAAAAAAATCCTTTTTCTTTTCTGGATTCTATACACCACCTAGCCTCTCTTAAAATTAGCATCCGTAAAGAATGCTACTTATCCCTGGACAGCTGTCACCAAAAAAATCATCTTTCTAGATATTGTAGGAAGGATCAGATTTAGGACCTTTGTTTTTTTCTTTTTTTAATCTTATAAATTAAAGTTTGGTGGGGGAACCTCAGGAGGCAGTATAGAATATTTTAGAAGCCATTAATCAGCCATGTTATTAATATTGGCAATATCCAGAGTTTTATGGTATTTCTGAGCTCAGGCTTTATCAGCCATGCCTTACAGATAGGAAAACTGCCATGCAGAAGAGGAGACGTACCCCAAGCCATGCATGTTACATGTTGTGACAGAACTTTTCATAATCAAAATCCAAGTGTCTATATCCCATAATCAAAACTACCAGTTTTACCTTCCTAAAGCAAAGTAATGCTTTCATAACTATTTTGACTCGTCTGATTTACTTACTCATCACAATTAAAATTTTGTCATGATCCCTTTCATGTAGAAAATCACATGTTGAAAACGTTACAGTTTAGGGAATGGTCATTGATGCTATACTGTTCTTGACTCTTCAAACTACTAAGCTTCTTAATGACAAGTTCTCCTAAGCTTCTTAAGGTCAAATTGGATAATCATTCCACAAAGATTTCTTGAAGGCCTACAATGTACTGGGCATTGTGCTACCTATTAAGGGCTTATAAATAAAGAGATCCAGTTCTGTCTCCTGGGAGCACTGGTGTTTAGTAGGTACAGGATTGAATGAGACCCACTTTCTAATGATGGCTAAAATACCTAGTATTTCAACCCTCACATTTTACCCAATATAGCTGTCATTATTTATACATCCCATAGCCTACAGGCCACCCTGGTTACTTTGCCCTCCTAGGTGGCCCCTGCTTGGTCCCCGGGCTCGCTCCGCCTTCAACTGTCCCTGCTGATGAGTTTCTCTCTCTTGTCTCGCCCCGCCCCAGGTAGCTGCGAGTGAGCGCTGCCCTTCCCCGTGCCCAGGCCAGTGCCCCGCGACGCCGCCGACCTGCGCCCCTGGCGTGCGCGCGGTGCTGGACGGCTGCTCCTGCTGTCTGGTGTGCGCCCGCCAGCGCGGCGAGAGCTGCTCAGAACTGGGCGACGAGAGCAGCGGCCTCTACTGCGACCGCAGCGCGGACCCCAGCAACCAGACTGGCATCTGCATGGGTAAGCCTGCTCCGCTCTGCTGTTTGACCTCTTCTCCCGCAACTAGCTGGAGCTGCACCCTTCCCTCTCTCCTTCTGCCCCTTCCCAGAGGGTGATAAGCAAATAATAATAATGCAATAGGTGACGTTTATGAATCACTTACTGTGTGCCAGGCATGGTTGGGGGGCCCTTGGGGCTTTGAAGAGTGCCAGAGCCAGAGAGGAAACCTGCCCATAGGGGCAAGAGCCTCCCTAGATAAGAATCTAAGGGGGATTGAAGCAGAGTGAAGGACCAGTGAAGTCATTTCCTCTGGACATTTCTAGAGGGGGACACTTGGAGCTGATGAAAGCCTGGGTTTATTCAAGCGCTCACACTTCTCCCAAGTGAAGCCTAGCAGGTTTGTTTTCACACCTGTAATTGTCCCATCTGAGCCAAAGCAGCCCCAAGTCTCTTGTGACAAGTATGTAACCCTTTTCCTGGCTGCAAGTAAAATAAAATGCAGACAACTAGCCAATCCAGGCTCCTAAAACACAATCAATCAGGGATCAATTTTCCACAGTGGTGTGCCATTGTGGTTGGAGGTTGTCTCTGCCTCCCTGAATAGAAGGGCTTTTACTTTTTTCTCTAAGCTAGTGAAAATTTATTGTGCTTGAATGCCAAGACATCTTACTGTCCTTCCCAATTTGACCAGTTAACCTATTTTGGAGAATATGAAGTGCACTTTTTCCCAAGTCTAAGCTGCTTGAGTTGGAGACTCTAAGGAGGTTCTTGCAAAATAGCTTAACATTGGGAACAAAAGCTATGGGCCCTTGGGAGTATCACTTCAAAGTTGCACACCTCATGAATAAAATGAGTGGCAGGACTGGATGATTTTAAAGGTTTCTTCTCACTCTGGGAGGCCTTCATAAGGAACTCTCTCTACTGGAAAGGCATAAGAAACCAGATCGCCAGCACCAAAAAGGAATGACTTGGGGTTTGGAACATGTCCTCCTCCAATCTTACATAGCTTCTCCAGTGCATTATGTTCTTGTTTTTCTCTCTCCTCTTTCCTCTCTGCTTTGCTTCCCCAATATTCTAGCGGTAGAAGGAGACAACTGTGTCTTCGATGGGGTCATTTACCGCAGTGGAGAGAAATTCCAGCCAAGCTGCAAATTCCAGTGCACCTGCAGAGATGGGCAGATTGGCTGTGTGCCCCGCTGTCAGCTGGACGTGCTACTGCCTGAGCCTGACTGCCCAACTCCAAGAAAAGTTGAGGTGCCCGGAGAGTGCTGCGAAAAGTGGATCTGTGGCCCAGATGAGAAGGGAACATTGGGAGGCCTGACCCTTGCAGGTGAGAAACTCAGTATACCTGGGGGTGGTCACAATACAGAGTAAATACACGCACAAAGCACATGTGATCTTTTTGATTTGAGAAGAGAAACTGGCCTTGGTTTCTGGCCATTCGGTTGTAGATTCCAGATTGCTTACTGAGATCGAACACATCATGTCTATAAATCCAAGTTAAGTCACCTGAAGTATGCCACAATTTCTTTTAAAGAAGACCTCCTAAATTCAGTTACTTTTGTGTCTCATTTTTGTCTTAGTGGATAACTACTATTGGTAATATTAGTCCATCTATGCCACTTGACCATTATTAGCACTAGAAAGCTAAAAAAAAAAAATCCTTTTTCTTTTCTGGATTCTATACACCACCTAGCCTCTCTTAAAATTAGCATCCGTAAAGAATGCTACTTATCCCTGGACAGCTGTCACCAAAAAAATCATCTTTCTAGATATTGTAGGAAGGATCAGATTTAGGACCTTTGTTTTTTTCTTTTTTTAATCTTATAAATTAAAGTTTGGTGGGGGAACCTCAGGAGGCAGTATAGAATATTTTAGAAGCCATTAATCAGCCATGTTATTAATATTGGCAATATCCAGAGTTTTATGGTATTTCTGAGCTCAGGCTTTATCAGCCATGCCTTACAGATAGGAAAACTGCCATGCAGAAGAGGAGACGTACCCCAAGCCATGCATGTTACATGTTGTGACAGAACTTTTCATAATCAAAATCCAAGTGTCTATATCCCATAATCAAAACTACCAGTTTTACCTTCCTAAAGCAAAGTAATGCTTTCATAACTATTTTGACTCGTCTGATTTACTTACTCATCACAATTAAAATTTTGTCATGATCCCTTTCATGTAGAAAATCACATGTTGAAAACGTTACAGTTTAGGGAATGGTCATTGATGCTATACTGTTCTTGACTCTTCAAACTACTAAGCTTCTTAATGACAAGTTCTCCTAAGCTTCTTAAGGTCAAATTGGATAATCATTCCACAAAGATTTCTTGAAGGCCTACAATGTACTGGGCATTGTGCTACCTATTAAGGGCTTATAAATAAAGAGATCCAGTTCTGTCTCCTGGGAGCACTGGTGTTTAGTAGGTACAGGATTGAATGAGACCCACTTTCTAATGATGGCTAAAATACCTAGTATTTCAACCCTCACATTTTACCCAATATAGCTGTCATTATTTATACATCCCATAGCCTACAGGCCAGAAGCCACCCTAGGAGTTGAAGTCTCTGACTCAAGTATCAACTGCATTGAACAGACCACAGAGTGGAGTGCATGTTCGAAGAGCTGTGGCATGGGTTTTTCCAGCCGGGTCACCAACAGGAATCGTCAGTGTGAGATGGTGAAGCAGACTCGGCTCTGCCTGGTGCGTCCCTGTGAACAAGAGCCTGAGGAACCAACGGATAAGGTACGAGCCTGGAGGAAACCTCAACCCTGAAGGCAGTGGCCTTGCTTCCCTGGAGCCTGGGCTTTGGAAAGTCACTGTGACATTAACTGACTGAGAAGTCAGCTCTAGCTGGGAGTTAACCCCAGAAAAAAGGCAGAGAGGTTCCTGAAACCAGCCTGAGTACCCTCTTTTTTTTTCTTTTTAATGTATTGAAATGTCCCAAGCAACTCACAGCAGATCTACAGGTAAAGAGGGAGGGGCCAGACAACTGTAATACTTTCCCCAGTAGAGAATGGTCCAGCAAATCACATGCCATTGCTGGAGAAAGTTTGCTACCCAGTTGTCAAGGATAACTGATTTTAGAGGATGAGTTCTGACCTCAGTTCACTTCACCCTTTAGGTTCAATCTGCATGAAACAATAGGATAGGAACCATGTTTGTCTTGTTCACTTCTCAGTTCACACCCTACCTGGTACATATTACGTGCATGATAAACAATTGTTGATGATTAAGTGAGTGGATGTCTGGGAATTATTGTTGGTATTTTTAAAATCCTAATGGAAATAGTACATTTGCCAGCATAAGACAATATGCGCCAAATAAAACAGCATATTTCTTCTTCTTTTTTTTTTTCTTTTTTTGCTGGAATTATATCAACTCAGTGTGTTAATGCTGAATGCAAGGCATGCAAGTCAGAAGCTGTGATTGGTTCCTGATGACATCACAGGCCTTGTTAGCAGAAAACTATGTCGGATAAATGCAATATCCAATTCGAACCATTATATGGACCCTTTTACAAACCTAAAGCTAAAATAAAACAGCCCCTAGCAATTCAAGATTTACATGTCTCTGCACTGAGGCAATATCATCTAATGCTTAAGGGCACAACTATGGAGCCAGACAGCTTGGCTTTAAATCCTGTCTTTCCTTATGATCTTGGGCAATTTTCTTAACTTCTCAGCCTCAATTCCTTCCCCCGTAGAATGGGGCCATTGAAAGTACCTACCTCAGAGTTGTCATGAGGATGAAATAGAATGAATTTGCAAAGTGCTGGACATAGATTAAGCACTCTGTTAACATTAGCCATCATTACTTAAAATTTCTATTTATTAGTGAAATAGAAGAATCTCTAATGGTTGCATTAGTTATGTGGCTGCTTAGCTATATGATTTTTTGAGGTGCATCTTAACTTCATGTTTCCTCTACCAATTTAGAAAGAACGCCTAGAAACACCTTATTTCAAAAATTATACCTTAGAAGATACACCTCCTCCACAGGGGAATTCGAACATATATGAAACACAGTCTTACAGGTTAACCCACACAAGCAGTCTCAGACATAAACACAGACACATACACAGAAATGTTGCTGTCCTGGGACTTTTTGTGGATATTGACAAGAATATATGCTAAACATTAAATACAAAAAAAAAAAAAGGAAGAAACAAGAAGTCTTGAAATATTTTCAAGGACACAGTAACTTCTTTATGAAATAAGGCCTTTCTATCTCATGCCTCTAAAATTTGGCTTTTTCTGTTGTTTCATTTCACAAAATTTGTGTTTCTTTCTGGTAAGTTTCACTTTGTTTAACATTGGGAGATATTATATTTAGGATGCTTATTTATAGTATACATATTTCAGAATGATTCTAGAAATTTGTTTGGAATGTAGGGAAATACTAACATAATAATCATTACTTCCTTATCTATAAGAGATTCTTAAATCTGAGACAGTGCTTCTTAAATTGTAGTCCCCAGACCATCAGCGTCATCTAAGAACTTGAAGTGTGAGAGCCACCAATTTAAGAGAATTTCAAGTCTAATCACCCCATAAGCTGTGGGCCATTCCTAGGAAGGTTCGCAGTACAAAATTGTGGCAAATTAGTGGATGAAGAAATCTAAGTAGGAAATAAAACATAGTCAATTCTTTGCCGAATTATCAATATTGAGATTCCTCCATAACGGTTACTAATAGAATCTTGAATGAATTCTCCACTTACTTTGCCTTTGTGGAAACTAACTTTAAATTTTATTGTCTTGGAATTTCCTGAGGTCATTGTATAATAGAAAGAATGGGCTTTGTGTCAGATAAATTCAAATACAAGTTGTTTTCTGATCACTTTAGCCCTTTGAGACTTTGTTTCTTCATCTATAACACTTGGGCAATTGTTCTTTCTATGTATGATTGTTCCTTGTATGAATGAATATCGTTAAGTGAATTAACATCTGAAAAGTTTTTGAAACATTTAGTAGGCTTACAATAATGCCAGATTTATACCATTTCTCTTTATAAAGCATAAAGATGCATTTGGCTAAAATAACACCAAAGCCTGTTATAATGGCTTAAAAGATAGGTTTCTGTATCATACTTAGCTTTCACCTTCATGCTCATTGCCTCAAGGTCAAAAGATGGTTGTGCACAATTAAACTTGGTGCTCTCACATTCCAGGAAGAAAGGAAAAGGAACGCAGGAAGCAATAAAGAATTGTGCCTGTCTAATGGGTGAAGTATTTTCCAGATTCCTTTGGTTTTTGTATCATTGGCCAGAACTTTGTCACAAGGCCATCCCAAGTTCCCAGATAGTCTGGGGCAGCACATATTTTTAGCTGACTACATTGCTCAAGCAAAATTAATGTTCTGTTAAAAGAGCAGAAAGACCAATGGATATTGAGTAGGCAACTAGTGGGTTATTCTAGGCTGCATAAAATGGTCCCTTGGAAGAATGGTAGCCATTCCACACATCATTCCTTTTTTCTTTCTTAGAAAGGAAAGAAGTGTCTCCGCACCAAGAAATCACTCAAAGCCATCCATCTGCAATTCAAGAACTGCACCAGCCTGCACACCTATAAGCCCAGGTTCTGTGGAGTCTGCAGTGATG